TCATACTCAGCACTTAGTTGGTGACCACTCCTGTCTTGACGTTGTTGGCGTAGCAACCAAAACAGATGTTGTGTAATCCAGCTGTCACAACAGTTTTGGGGTGTTTCTTCCATCCATCGATGCTGTGTGCTAGCGAGTATGAACACTAATCGGTTAACAAGCATCGCGACGGGGGGAGGGTTGGGGTAGTGTGCGGATTTACTGACCGGAAGCTCCGTGGTTCGAAACCGAACTCTGTCTCTCGACTTCTCTTGGCTAAGCTTAGGCAACCTAGCAGTATCGCAGCCCACGAGCCTCCTTCTGGTAGCATGGCAGTTAGGCACCGAAAGAATGCTATAGCTGAACGATTTCGATTTTCTTAACAAGCATCGGAATCCCCAGTGAGGTTCACTCTTTCGGACAGTTCCCACTTGATTACTCTGATTAGTCCATAGCTAAGTGGAGGTGCACTCGACTCAACTTTTGCTCTCATTGGAGCTTATCAACTATGCGTATTCGTACCCATGTCAGGATTTGAGCACTTGACCACCGGCGAGCGAAACAAATGTGGTACGATAACTACATCGACGTACGTAACGATACTTTAGGGTGTGTTAGCAGAAGAACTTTAACGATCAGGACTGTTCAAATTAGAGCCGATAGAAATCTTAAAACTTCCCGAATACTTAGAGACCTTCAAAGAGTAGAGAGGTCACTTCAAATGGCTTGGTTTTGGTAACCATGTGAGAAATTTTCATTCTATATACTCTGCATGTACGGATGAGTCGCAACCTTTGGAAGAGTGGTTGCCGAGTGGCCGTACTACCATGGGTTACTACGCTCAGCTATAACACCCTTCCGGTGCCTAGCTGTCATGCCACCCGAAGGAAGCACGAGGGCTGGGATACTGCCAGGTTGCCCAAGCCTAGACAGGGGGAGTCGAGAGGCAGAGGTCCGGTTCGAACCACGGACCTTCCGGTCAGTAAATTCGCGCTCTAACCACTTGAGCCATCTCGCCCCATTTGTTTCCCTCGAAGATTATGGACTTCAAGACAGAAAAAAGGAATATGAAAACGACAAGTTCGGTAAATATTTAACAAAACAACACAAGCGGAATTACCATAAGGCGCAACAAAATTCAGTATCTCCAAGTGCCAAACAAAAGGTCACGTTTTCGATAATATATCTTACTTGTGAGCCTAAGCAAGAACGAGAAGGCCTGTGTGCCCGAGCTTTTCGAAATCTCATCAGACTCTCAAGCATAAATTTCCAGTCTGGGTAAGCAACCACGGGTTATTCGAATTTTTTTAAAAACGAATGAAATCATCAGGATTCTTGAAAGGAAGCAACACGAGACAAAGAACTCTTGGAAGATAAGGAATTTCAAGCTTATTTTTGGTCACGCGCTCCTATAATGTCGAAACTTATTCGCACGTGAGGTTACAAGATAAAATGAACGTTGTCAGTCTAATGAACGTTCCCTGTGAACAGGAATTAATCTGCCAGAGGTCTGTCTGTCAATCATCCATCCAAGAATCACTCCCTGATCAGAAAAAAATGTGCCTCCCACTCAGTGGAGGGAGGCCTTGGTCGGTTTGCAAGACCGATCCAATGGGACCCACCATGTGGGAAGTTAACACAACCGAATGAGATAACAATATTGGTAAACAAGTAACAAATATAACAAATGTTCTGCACAAAACCGATGGATGAGAAGCCACTAACATACCCCTGGTGTGGAGGTTCTCCCAGGCCAGGAAACCTTGAGCTACTCATGTCTAAATAGTAGTATAAATTAAAACGCATTCACATCAGCTGACGGCTGGTCTGGTTGGTACGCACTGAGACGACTCTGCTAGCCAATCAGTAGTACATATCCCTGGCTGTGATGGGATTTGGACCCCAACATCTAACACTCAAGGCGACTGTGCTACTAGGCAGACATGAACAATCATATCATGTCAAGCACGGGAATTGTTAGAACAATTTTGAGGCGAACGAAAGTGCTAAAATTCCCGCAATTCCCGACGAGCTGAGGCAGTCAGCCCATGAAATAACTTAAATCCGTCAAGTCTGTTGGTATTTATTAAAAAGTGTGGCTGGGTTGTATGGCCGCACCCCAAAATTTGTTGAGAAACCTCGGGACTGCACGTTATTCCGTGCACATTGGGACAAGTGAACGGAGGAACGCAGCAAGAAACGATAACTGATGAACCAGAACGACTTTTAAGTCGATGTGAGCTATAAACAAAAAATGCATGGCACGGATAGGTTACTGGTCGATACTTACATCTTGAACTCCCTGGGATACGTACTCACTGCTGTTTTAAGTAGGAACGCAAGTGTGTATGAGACATGCGAATGGACTAGCACCAAAAAGGGAGTCGAACCCGTGACGCTGCACGTGAGTACGTTTGCTCTGTCGATTGAGATACGACTGATCTCAATGAAGTACATACCTGACACAATGTCACCTACAACTTTCGTGGATCATCGGTTAGTGCAAAGAACTACACCATCAGTCACCTAAACCCAGCAGTTGGTGCGCACTTCCAGGCTGGTCACAGGTGTTACGCTTGCATTGCTGATCTAGCCGTTGAATTTGACCTGCCACCAACCCCCCACCCCGCTCATGGTGTCGGCAAAAGATTGCAAATAGTCACTAAAATCTAGGGACATACTGCTATCCTAACCCATTATTCAGCAATCAGATAGACTCAGTCCTAATTATTTGGTCATTGTTATTGGAATGATCAACCTAACAGTGGACGCTGACGATGTGATGTCGTTGGTTGGCGACGTGGAAGAAAACCATGAGCAGCGCTAACTTTGCGATAATGTAACGATAAGTGTGGCTTTGTGAAAGACTGATAGAGGCATTCTAAGTCAATGGGATTCTATCTATACGATATAAAAACTTGAATCCGTGCACCTTCGACAAATAGACCACTTATAGGCACTCCAGTGCATTGGATAGATGTCATCCACCTCGCGTAAATGATATGGAACACCTTTATTGATTCAGTGAAATATCCATGGTTCAGAGCCCTGAACCATTTCAAGGCAGTGTGAATCCGTTGAACCGAATGTAGCAAATGAACAAGGCACTTGGAATGGAAACTGCTTTAATTTCTTCTTGTTAGTGAAGTCAATCTTCGCCAATAGGCACTTTACGGGAGTGCTACACTTATAAGTGGCCATCAGAAATGTACATCTCACGAATTTCGAAGAAGATTCGAAATCGCAGCCTTCCGGATAGTAGTCGAAGACTAAACCTTTTGGACTACGAGTGCCTCGTAAGCATTCTAACCAACTCGCCACTTGTGGTTTCATCGCAGAACCCACATCACGTGTCTACCAGCTCCTCGAGTGACGAATTATCAGATAGCAGTGTGATGAGACTTTGAGGTTCCAGTGAGCATGATGAGAAACATGAGCGACTGGGTCTGCTCATAAGCAAACTAAACTGAAGCGAGTGAAATCCTATGCCCAGGTGATGTTACAGTCTTTGAAGGCAAACACATAGTTGTTGTCTACTGAAAACGCCTCCCGCGAAGCCATGTAACAGCGCCCATTAATGTGCTCGTATGGAATTTATCGACCGACTCGATAAAGGGGTCCATATAACTTGACCTCGCCACAGCGTTACCCTCGCCTACGGTTGGTTTAGAAAACAGTGACAATTGAAGCACGGTGAATTCTGGCTATAGAACAATGATGCACACGAAAATTGACTGCGCTTGCCTTGTTTGGTTAGACCTACGGCAGGAAGCGGTAAAGCTGAAATAGAACATTTTTCGGTCAACAGCCTTGAAAGCCATCCGTCCAATGGGTTCGTGGGGAATCCATTCAAGGAACTCATCCTCAAGGATCATGGACTGTGCTTGCTGGAGTATCACACACAGGAAATTCTCCGTGTTGATTCACGGTCTGCCGAGTTGGAAGATAACAGCACCCAGTAACACCTCTTCAGGCGATGGTGCAAGTCATGATATCGTCTGCTTGGAATGTTACGGAATGAATGGGAAGGAATGCCCACATGCGTGGGACAAATTCAGACTAAAAGTTCCAGTTATTTGCTGGATTAAAGCCCAGAACCTCCCTTAAATTTACCTCTACGAGGCAATTGTTTTCAAAGTTCCGATCTGCCCAACACACTCGCCTCTGAATAAACTGAGAGGACTGATATCACAAAAGAGCCAATTCTCCCTTATTTGTCGATAAACTGTGACCAATAACCTGAACAAATGGACGGAAATAGAGAGGGCTTCAACAGTTCGGGATCTCATTGTAATACAAAGATCAGTTTCAAGATCAATCATGCAGAATCGCAGTAATGCATTCAGCAAGAGTATCAGACGGACATTAGATGCCCAAAAGCTGGAAGTACGTACAACATTCCGAGTTGCACTTGGTTGTGTGAAGGACTCGTGTGCTATATCTATCTAATCCCAAAAAGGGCGAAACCGGTCGTGGGCTGTCGACGGATTTTCAGCAACCTTATGAGTAGTACATTACAAAGGTTGACTTCTCCTGCGACAAACCCCAAGTTGCCAGGTCATGTCATAAATTAACGTGAGATCTGAAGATGTAGCTGATGCAGTTCCATCTGAAATATACCCAAAGTTAGAATGAGAACATTCGCTTGAGGGAAGAAGTCCTGTTAAGGCATCCAGTCTTCAAGTCTAGGCTACATCGAAGTAGTACATTACACGTATCGCGAAATCTCGAATATCGTAGCGACTGAAACATGAGGCGGTCTGGTGCAGTACATTCAGTTGCCTGGAAACATCACAAACGAGAGATACAGCTGGGTTCCAGGTGAGTCTCCCGAAAAACCAAATTAGTTTGCAAATGACTCGTGTGCTAGTCCAGACAAAATCTAGCGAATTCCAACAGTTTGCTGTACCGGAGAACCATTCGCCCCCCAAGTAAGAGGCAACCGAACAGTATTGAACTGTTATGTTTGCTATGTTATTCCCCCCAGGAGAGAAAACTTAGGAGAACGAGGAGAAGGGTAATCAGAAAAATGGATGCTGCATTTCAGCGGGTGTGATGGGTGGCATACGAGTCACAAAGATACACGGGGGGGGTTGAGAATGGAGGTCAGAACGAAACACGCATCCACAAAGGCCAACTGGATTCACTGCAATAATGTTTGTATGTCTGTGTACAAATAATAATCAAATTACGGCAAAAGGCACGGAGGCACACACCACGGAAGTGTGTTACCAACTTACCGTTGGAGGGGGGGTTGGTTCCTGTTGAGCAGCAGGAGAGCGGGATATCGGAAAGAAAACAATAAACAGACGAAATCAGATTTGAGGTGGGACCGGCAAAATGGTGTTGGACCACCACAACGACGGCGAGGGAGAGAATATCAACAAAATGAAAGACAATAAAGTCCTCAGAGAGTGGTGGACCAAATCAGACAATGAAAGAGGAGTAAAAGGGGATTGAGTTGCGGAGGGTGGACGTAGGTGGAGAATATGATGATGATGGTGATGATGATGATGATCACAGGGTGGGTGGGTCCTCAAAGGGGTAAGTTATCACTCTGGTAAAAATACAAGTTGATTAGAAAAAGACTTGTAAAATACGATTAGTTTTCGGTATAGATCAAAGGGAGAGAATAGGCCGGACGACGAACGCGAACGGTCACTGCGAGCGACGGAGAGCGGGAACGACGCATCAGGATGGAGGAGGTGGCGGCGGTGGCGGAATGGGGAGTGGGGGAGGACCAGTGAAGCTATGCTCGTGATTTATGACTGAAGCGGCGGTCAGGTAACCGGAATGTAGGCTGCCAGCAGACGGGCCGGCAGTCAAATAGGCTGTGGTTGCTTGTGGCACGTTGGACAAGAACAGTGCGTGGCCTTGGTCCCTGTAGTCTGCCCAGTTAGGATGCGCTTCGAGACACTGAGTTACCTGAAACACAAGCAGACGCAAAATTAAGGGAAATTTGGGCAGAGAACCCATGGAGAGACAAAGTATCGCTGTGATCCGAAATGGGCTAAATCCTCAGCGCGACCAGTGTACGGTATTTCATACTATCGGTGAGTAACCTGGCTTTTTAGTAATTTCTACTCACCAGCACTATTCTGAATAGCTGTTTTGTCAGTGCAGANAGCTGTTTTGTCAGTGCAGAGCCTTGCGTACATGAAATGCACTCATTTTCAAAATAATTTGGTCCTCGAAAAAAAAAGATTCGACTGGCACAATAAACTCTTCCACAGTTGACGACCGGTTTCACCCCTCTTGTGGGTCATAAAGTGGGCGAAGTCGCCGAGTTTCCGTCAACCTCATGTTCTGCTTGAACCCAAATTGCACGAAATCAGTGAACTACACTCATTTGTATACCAACACGGTGTTGACTGGAGGCACACCTGGGTTCCAGGTGAGTCAGAACCAAGTTGGTATGCAAGTAAGTGTGTTTCGCTGAGAATTCAACTGAATTCACGCCTGATCTCTCGCCTGCATTGAAACCCCCAAAAGGGCAAAACCGATCGCGGGCCATCGAAGAGTTTTCAGCAACTTGATTAGTGGTGTGGTGCACTTTACTGTAATGGTTCCACGTTTACCATCGCCCGCCTGAATGATTCATTGTTTTGCGTCAACATACCAGGTTGCTTCGCGTTTCGCTTTGTTTAAATAACAATCATATCACTTTTGTCGCGGCCGTCGAAGAGCCCACTAAACTGGGGAGTCGAGATCACGCCTGATAAATTCAGTACCTAAATTTGCTTTTCACTCGCGATTCTTCCGGCACATGAACTACAGGAACTACCGCGGAGCCACCGAGGACTAGAAAGAATTAATCTCCAAGTTACAGACTATTCGCGTCAACAGAGCTAAACTATGCAAAGCCCCGAAGGAGGTACTTGCACGCTTCAAAGAAGTACACCTGCTGGAGGGTAGCTTCTTTCCTAGGGATCCCACACCATGTCGTGGTTGTCCGAGAGCGTTACTTCGGACTCTCCAGCAACGTGACCTGTCTTCGCGGCGGTAGCGCTATTCAACGTCTTTGCTGCTTTAAACCTACGCTCCAAGCAAACACAACAACCGACTGACTCATCATGGTTGATTTGGTTGACAGGACAGAAGCAGCATTCACGTACTTTGTTCCCGTAGGTCGGACTGCGCTGCATTGCCTTCAGTGCCCTGACCAAATAGGCCCGCGTCTGGCCCGGATCCCTAACGGAACGTGGAAGACCGTTCCGCAGCAGTTGTAGCACATAACCAATGAGGTCATGCTTCAAGGCCTGCAAAAAAAAGTGGAAAGGGATTTCACTAATTTCCCCCTCCCCAAAAAAACGATGGATGAGCTGTAGGGTATTGTAGGGACCAACGAACAGACTGACCTGAGCAATCAGTGGATCACAGTCCGGACTGTCGAAAATCCCGAACAGAGTTTCACCCACAAGTCCCAACTCTTCACCGATGCAACAGTTTATCACACGCATAATCCCACCAATAGTATCGCGATCAGCCATTGCTTGGATACAGAGCTGTTGGCGACGGGATAAAATGTTGATTAGATGTTGTCAAGTAAACAGCAGAACCAACAGAAGATGGAACTACCAAAGGCTTCATATAGAAAACATCGAGGAAAATCCTATCTGGCATACACAGCGGTGGTTTACACGAACGACGCGAGTTCACAAGGATAGACGTACCTTACTCCTCGACATGTGATGCAACAAAAGTACAGCTGCCTTAGCTCCTTCCGGGTCATTGACTTGAGCGAGTAGATCAATAATTCGGTGTAGATAGCCCTTTCGAGGAAGCGCATCCAACAAGCCCGGGCGGTCAACCAAAACGGCACAGCAAGCTCGGGTAAGTAGACGCAAGAGTAAGGCGGAATCGGGTAGCTTACTGATGTTCTGTGAGCCGAGAGATATCAAAAAAGAATAAAAATGAGGAGATTAGCAGTAGAACTAATGGGTTTCAACAGAACTAAGACAAGAGAGCT